CACAGAGCAAGAAACATCCCCACCTCCACAGAAGCCAAGAAGATGGGCATCTGAAGACAGCCTTTCAGGCCTGTGGATATCCAAAATGGGCCTTTAACAAGGCAACATCCTAACCCAGCAGGACAAGGGAACAATTTGAGAACCCAGAGATGATGGAAGAACCTGGTCATTCCTTACATGGCGGGTGCGTCTGAAAAGTTCAAAAGGATTTTTGGTAAACACTACGTACCTATATACCTTAAACCCACAAACACACTAAGGCAGAGATTTGTCCACTCAAAAGGTAAGGTAAAGGTAAAGGTTCCCCTTGACAATTTGTCCAGTCGTGTCTGACTCTAGGAGGCGGTGCTCATCTCTGTTTCCAACCCACAGAGTTGGGTTTGTCTGAAGACAATCTTCCGTAGTCATGTGGCCAGCGCGACTCGACATGGAACGCCATTACCTTCCCACCATGGTGGTACCTATTTATCTACTTGCATTTGCATGCTTTTGAACTGCTAGGTTGGCGGGAGCTGGGACAAGCAATTGGAGCTCATTCCGTTGCATGGAGTTGATCTCAAACGACTCAAAAGACTGGACACCAAAACACAACAGGAGCTATATGTGGTCCAATGCAAAGAGAAGTGTTCGGAGTTCTACACTGGAGAAACCAAACGTCCACTCAACAGGAGAATGGCCCAGCACAGGAGGGGCAATGGCTCAGGACCACAATCAGCAGCGTTCCTTCATCTGAAGGACAAAGGACACCCATTTGATGATCAAGATGTACTAATTTTGGACTTGAGAATATAGGTGGTTTGAGAGAGGGGGCAGGGAGGCCATATATGTATATATAGAAAATCCCTCACTCAACAGGGGATAGTGAAACCAAAGTGGAAGGTATATCAGGGGTCTGCTACCAACTCTCTTCAGACTGAAGAAGCTATTTGGATGAGTAGAGAAATGTGCCAACCTAATCAGGAAGCATGGTATATAACTACTGAAGTCCAGTTGCCATGACTCAACTTCCAGATAACCTCACCTGGGTGACCGAGAATCTTCACAGATATATTCCTAGGATTTGATGTTTGGTAGGGTACTTACTTCCAACTAGAGAGTTCTGGTGCATTCCCCGAACTACAGTATTAAGAGCTGTCCAGCAGAGAATTCTGAGGGCTTCACCAAGCTACAAACCCCAGTATCCCTTAGGATGGAGCCACAGCAATTAACATGATATGAAACCACTCTGTGTAATGTAGGGAGACCCAGAGAGGGCATTTCGTTGCTCTCTTAAAAGGCCTGCTGGTTCTGAGAGTAATTAGATAGCCAACACAACCACAAAAAGATAATCAGGGAAGTTCCTGTGTTTTTAGCGGCAGCTGGATCTGCAGAAAGGAACAGAGGAATTTCCAATGGAGTTAAGGATAACTAGACCTGTCAAGTTGCTGTTTAATGCATAGGAAGAGGAGCCAACAAGAAGCAAGCTTTACGGGTGCAGTAAATAAAATGATATCTATGTAACACACGTTTTTTGCATGCTTTGGTTTGTGCACAGGGAAGGGAAGTGGGCCTAATAGATATAAAACCGAAACATGCATAATGAAAAGATGCAAACATTGCTATACACAAGGGACTCCGATTTAACTTCTTCAGAGGTTCCCATGTAATTAAGAGTCATGCATGGGGTTGCCCCCAATGTGTCAGCAAATGTAGGAGGTCATACTCTTGACTTGGTTTTCTCAGTTGGCCCAGAAGTGGGTGGCCCACAGAAGGTGGGTGTTTTCTTGATTCTCTTAATTCTCCTGGTTGAACCCTTTAGGGGCAAAATTGACACCCAGATCCTTGAAAACGTCCACCACTGCCTTAAAGATTAACACTTTTGTTTTGATGATATGGGTTTTTGAGACTAGATTAGGGTTTGCTTGGGGGCAGGTGTGGAGGGCAGGTATGGAAGAGGAGTGGAAAACAGCGAGCCACCACAGACTTTATTGTCGGGCCAGAGGGAGTCCTCTGGAAATTCTCAGCTGGGCTAGTTGATTCTTTTGTAAATGCCCTTGGCCTGTCGGGTGATCATGAAAACTATTCCGGCAGTGCTGGTCTAAGAACCTTGTTGGAAACTAATTATGAAGGAATGAAGATATATTTTTGATAGAGACATATAAAACTGAATCCAGAAATGGTCTTGTTTATCAATACTTGTTACTGAAATTATGGTTTTACAACTGGAGAATTGCTTACTAATGTATTTTCTGCTGTGAAATTAATTATAGCTAGGAACTGGAAATCTAAACTTGAATTTCCACTGGAAGAATGGTACAATGACGTTTGGGATCTTGCTGTAAATGATAAATTGGCTTGTATTTTAAAAGTTAAGAAACGGGAGATTAAAAAAAGATATTTTTGTATGATATATGGGTTAGATTTATTGAATTTGTGTTAATAAGTGGAAGAGGTAACGTCCCAACACAAGGATCGATGCAGTTCTGGAAAGGAGGACAATGAGAAGAAGAATTCTCCAGGAGGTCCCGCTGGTGGTGGGAAGCACGATTATTTTAGTTTGTTATCTTGTGTTTTGTAAAATTAAAATCTTACAAAAAGAAAAAAACCTTGTCTACAGCCACATGAACTAAAATTAATCCAGTGAAAGAGGAAAAGACTATGCTTCTCTCACTATAGATTCTCTGCTTCCTCTTGACCCCAGACACATTTCAAATATGTTCTGAAGTCACAACAGGCAAAATATACAGTATATATAAATCTTCTTGGCAGGTCAGCAAGGCCTGGTGTTAACTAGGAAAGAGTGGAGGTGGCCCCAGGCTTTTAAAGCCATCTGTCACACAAAATCCAGATGTTCTATTGCTCCAGTGCTACTTGTTGTCTCTTGGCTTGAAAGCCCAAGGAAAGAGGGCAGGTTTCTAAAAACACAGCTGTTGCGCTGAGACCTGGCGACCGTATGTCAGAGAAGCGCACGGCCCTCCATCGCCTCCAGTGGGCTGCAAAGAATTTAGAGCAAAGATTGAGCCACAGCCCTTAATATCCAAAGCCAGGCCAAGGATGTTGCCACATTAAAGATCTTGCTCTGTCTTTGGTAGTAGAAATATCATGGCTGAAAGACAGCCGTGTAATTTATGCTATGCGAGACTAATGACGTTGTCAGTCACTGTGATTCTTTGGAAATAATTAATTTCTGATTCCCACCACCCCAGATTATGAGGCTCCTGTGGAATCTTTTCATCACCAGCAAGCTGTTGGGAGCTGCAGCTCAGGAGGAGGAAGTCTTTGATGACCAAAAAATCACCATGACTGACACACAGCCCTTGACCTTAGCCGAAAGACAGAGAAATTAGGCAATACAATACAACAATAAAAAGAGATCATTTGATTGTACTGTACAAAATGTTATGTGTTGTGGATAAAGAGGCCCGTTGTACATTTATGTGTAACAATAAGACACAACAAAATGGATCAAGGGCTTACTGCCTAAAATATGGTGAAGAGTTACCCCCCCCAAAAAAACCCCATGATGATGATTTATTTTCATTCGAAAAAAATATGTTGGGTTTCTTTTGTTCTTAGCTTTTCAAGGACGTTGTTAGCATCCTGGACCCTGACATGCTTCAAATGAGTGAAGAAGGGGACAGAGAGACTAAACCGGAACACTGCATACTCCCTGCCATTCAGTCTCCACTGGAAAGGAAAAGAAGCAAGCAAACAAAGTCCAGGATGACCAGTTGGTGAGTGCTAGGGCAATACACAAATGATAAGGACTGTCTGTGTGGACCATTTGATGGTCAGATTATTCAAGACCCCAGCTTTGCAATTAGAAGTGGAACTTCCATAAGAAGTAAAGGACATTCATTTATTCTAACACAAAGTCTCTGGAGCTCTTCAATTTTGTTTTTGGTCATCGGAAGGCCTGGGGCTTCATTCGCAAGTCAGTTTTGCAGAGATGCCAGCTTTGAATGAATATGCTTCTTAAGGAACAGGATTTTTTTCACTTTCTGGTTACAAAGCTGGTGTCTTTTGTAATTCCACCCTGATATGGCCATTTCAACCTGCGGTGATAATGCTGCAACATCTTTCGATGGAGACAGAAAGGAGCAAATCTCAAAGCTTATTTATAGGGAAATGACTCCTGTTCGAAATACTTGAGGGTCATGAATTCATAAGGTCTGCTTAAGTCAGAATGAAGCAACTTGATATTACATAGGAACTGCACCTCCCATTACATTCATTGGATCTTTACTGATAATCATCATATGTCGTCAAGTCAATTCTGACATGACAGTCCTTTCCAAGGTTTTCCAGGTAGAGAATGTTCAGAAGTGGTTGACCATTCCTTTCCTCTGGGGTCATCCTGGGACTGTGCAGCTTGCCCAAGGCCACACAGGCTGGCTCTTCTCTCAAGAAGCCCAATGGGCAATTTGAACTGCCAACCTTGGGCTCTGCAACCAATACCTAAACCACTGAGCTATCCAACCAGCCCTGGATCTTTACCCCCTAGTGAGTGTGCTCAGGAGGACTATACTGTCACACTTTTATTGTGGCCAGAAACAGATATTAGAGACAGCTTGTCACTGGAGTGAAAGCATAATCATGATGCAGAGACATAATTGAGGCAGTCTTTTGAGTCTGCAAAATGAGTTTTCAGAGGAAGCCTTTATTTAAGTGGCAAAGACCAGTCGCCAAAAAGCAAGTTGATGTACGTGAGAGAAACTCCTGCTGTGACACTCAAATGGTTTCTCTTAGTTAAGGATTTTCTTTTTCTAACTAGGGTCTGTCTCAAAAGTCTGTTTCTGGTGCAGGAGCATTCAAAAACACACAAGATCAGTTCTCGAGTGCCATCTTGTGGGTAAAGGTAGCGAGTGTTTGAAAGTAAGAAGATTGGCCACAGCATGAAAGAATGGACTAAGAAAAGCCTTCTACTATGTAGACAGGAAGGCTGTAAGCAATCCCAGGCACATTTTCTGGGGGGAAATCCCACGGAACGTAACTTCTTCCAATTAACTACATACAGGGTTGTGCTGCAATTGTGTACAAAAATATTTTGGCTATGTTTCCCACAGGAAGGCCCCTGGAGGCAAGGATCCGTACACATGGTTCTCCAAAAAAGAGGTCGCAGCAAGAGAAAGGGAAGCCAAGTTGAATTATATTCCTCCCCTCAGTGAGAATGTGAAACAAGCCACAAGGGAGTTGTGCAGCTGGCTTGATTCTTTGGTGGGTTAAATCATGCCTTTATTTAATCTTGCTCCAAGCCCAGATGTGCTTTGCTACAAGTTCACGATTTCAACATCAGCCGATTGGGTTGTTTCTGAGCCCTGTTTTTTAGCTACAGTTAAGTTCGAGCAACAAGCTCCTGTCATGTCTGAAAACGAGGTTCTTTTTGTTCCATTGACTCCCCTATAGTTGTCTGTGTTCTGATTGGCTTCTTTATCTTCTTCCCCGGTTGCTAAACCCAAGACGGTTCCTTACTGGTGAATAACATGGTGGAGCTAAAACATGTGGAAACAGTGCTTTATTGTTTTCACGGGGTGACATAACCCGAGGCACCATATCTCTGTTTTAAGGAAAATCCCAGGTTCCTATGCCTTATGTAACCATCTCCATACTGGCCCGTTGTTTTGGGGTCAAAGAAGCTGTGTCAACACCATGAAGTTATTTCCAGCATCCGGGTAACTAGCATTTCATGCCCTATATGGGAGCCAGGCTTCGTTCTCCTTTTGAGCCCCCTCCCTGTTCCTGACATACAGGTGTTTTCAGGATGGGACCCAAATAACAGTTTCCCCCTTCTCTACTTGGAGAGCAATTTGTCTGAAGAGGAGAAGTCCTGCTTGCATGGAGGCTCTATAGATGAGCAAGAACTCCGGGTAAACACGAATCTATAACAAGCTGAAGCTTCTCCTCTCTGACCTTGGTCTCCTTGTAAAGAAAGAGGTAACAACGCCACAATGACGCAGTCGCTTCTCTAATGACACTGACAACTGGAGAGGTAATGACCAAATAGGACCTAAACATGTCATCCATGTAATGATTACAGAATGTGATTAATTTCAAGTGCAAAGGCTAGTCTGTACCATCTTTGGCAATATACTTTAGATGGGTGTATAGGTCTATTTCTGATAAATTCATGGTTTTGTCCATAATTACATTCCATACTTCAGGTCAATCTAGACACATATACATATATACACATATTTAAAGGGCTATATTGTTTTAGAATTGGCAAATGTGTTTTCCTCCTCAGATTACATATTTATTTGATATGTTTCAGACTGCCAAGAACTGTGTTGCATAATGTGTGAATCACAGTTGTAAACCAGTAAACTTCCCCCCTCAGATTACATATTTAAATGAGCATTTTGATATGTTTCAGACTGCCAAGAACTGTGCTGCATAATGTGTGAATCACAGTTGTAAACCAGTAAACCTCTTCTTGGCCTGGATCCGAAAACCTTTGAAAACGATCTACTTTCTGTATACCAGTGGTTCCCAACCTTGGGTCCTCAGATGCTCTCGGACTGCAACTCCCAGAAGCCCAGCTAGTGGTGAAGGCTTCTGGGAATTGGAACATCTGGAGACCCAAGCTTGGCAACCACTGTTGGGGACTGGCAGCTTGAAGGACAGATGTGCCCTAACTCACAAGTTCTTTCTTTCAATGCTGTTATGTTCTCTTCAAGGCTCCTTTATCTCACTGACAAGGCTTATATTGTTTAGTCGTTAAGTTGTGTCCAACTCTTCGTGATCCCATGGACCAGAGCACGCCAGGCCCTCCTGTCTTCCACTGTCTCCCAGAGTTGGGGCAAATTCATGTTGGTCGTTTTGATGACACTGTCCATCCATCTCGTCCTCTGTCCTCCACTTCTCCTCTTGCCTTCACACTTTCCCAACATCAGGGTCTTTTCCAGGGAGTCTTCTCAAGAGATGGCCAAAGTATTGGAGCCTCAGCTTCAGGATCTGTCCTTCCAGTGAGCACTCAGGATTGATTTCCTTCAGAATGGATAGGTTTGATCTCCTTGCAGTCCAGGGGACTCTCAAGAGTCTCCTCCAGCACCACAATTCAAAAGCATCAAGTCTTTGACAAGGCTTATAGCTACAGTTAAATCAGGGCGGATTAGTTAGCAAAAACCTCTGTTTAACCTAGACTGAGGTTGCCTCACTCTGCATTTCACAAATTATGTACCTGACCTTTCTCTCTTATTGGTAATTAATTAGGAAATAAACACATCCTTCATTTGCAAGTCTGGTTGTTCTTCCAGTGTGGAGTTTTGAGAGAATTGCACGTCTAGAGGAAAAACATGATAATATCAAGAAGCTGATCTTTCGCTTAACATGTGCTTTGACTCTTGATCATGCAAGACAAGGAAAAGAACCATCTCTCCTGCCTCTGTTCCCTTTTATCCCGCTCATTTCTTATTAAGGGATGTGCAGGGGATAACGGTATAAAAGTGTGCTGCATGTGTGAGTGAGAAACAGAATTAAACATACAGTATTTAAATTCTGTAATACTAGAATTCCAACAATAATGTTGGGAAAGGTGAAAGGCAGCAGGAAAAGAGGAAGACCAAATATGAGATGGGCTGACTTCCTAAATGAAGCCACAGGGTTGAGTTAGTTTACAAGAGCTGAGCAGGGCAGCTGAGGACAGGAAATACGGAGGATTTCATTCAAAGGGTGGCTGTAAGTCAGAGGCCGCTTGGCAACAAGTGACAAAAAGAATTCCTTAGTACTAGAACTCAAGACGTTGTGCTGTTAAAAACCAAACGCATTTCTCGTTTTCCTTTTTTATTCTTTTTTGCTGAGTCAGATGCACCAAAATTCATTTTCAAAGTTGATTTGCAGAAATTCTAATTTTAAAAGAGGTAGCTTGTGTTAGTCTGTGGCAGCAAAAAGAAAGAATTTTTTTTCTGGCACCTTTGAAACTGGCATGTTTCATTGGCATAAATGTTTGTGGACTGTAGCCCACTTCTTTGGATGATTTCCAGAAGTACACTCAAGGTAGAAAATACTATAAGCGTGTATAAAACCCCTTTTGCTGGGAAATAACTCAACTTTCTGCTGAACTTGAGTTATGGTTTCAGGGAGGAGAAAAACATGATATTGATGAAGCCGCCATTATAAGTCTGTTTGATGCAAGTTATGAGACTGAGCCACCTGGCGCCCTTTCGGTACACGTTGTGGAGTGGAATGACTTACCCATAGAGTTGCAGATGTCTGCTGGGATTTCTCCACCACAGGTCACAACAAAATGGGCTGCTCAGCAAGACAGGCGTTCTGAGGTAAGGGACCTTGAGTTTCCAAGTGTGTAGCCTTTCAGCAACGGGGCCAAATGATGGCTGGGACTCTTTCTGGGGAAAATCAAAATCAAAATCAATCTGCCAGAAAGGGGGGGGGGTAGAATCATAGAATTATAGAATCATGAAATTGGAAGGGACCTAGAAGGTTATCGAGTCCAACCCCCTGTTCAATGCAAGAATGCAAATCAAAGGATATCTGCCAGGTGGTCATCTAAATCTCTCTTGAATGTCTCCAGTGTTGGAGCACTCACCAACTCCTGAGGAAACTGGTTCCGCCGTCCCACTGCTCTAACAATTAGGAAGTTTTTTCGTGATATTCAGTCTGAATCTGGCTTCCTGTAACTTGAGCCCATTGTGACGTGTCCTGCACTCCAGTCTGATCAAGAGCAGATCCTGCCCCTCCTCTGTAGGACTGCCTTTCAAGGGCTAGTGGGGTCTTTTGATTTATGTTCCAAAATAACATGGCTGACGTTAGGTGCAATGTTCCTGATTTAGGCAAGCGAGGGAACCGTTTGTTGCGTTGCCACAGGCAGCGAAATGTCTTGGACTGACCTTCCATTTACGTAAAAATAGAACAATGGGAAGATGCGGCTACTCTGACAGACTTTTTGATTGAGTACCTAACCACAAGGAGCATCATAAAGTTCGGGCTAAGGCCACCAGTAGCTGTATTTCTCTCCTACGAAGTTATAAGAGAGAAGTGGCAATTGACAGTGAACTAACTGCAAGGGTGTTTTATATCTCCCACCCACCCATTTTCTCCAGCTATTATACCCATGTTATCTGATTTCCCCCAATTGATAAAGCAGACACTCTCATTTGGAAAAACTGAACAAGGGGGAAGTGACTGCTTGGGATGATAAGCAGATAAGCAACCTCTTCATAGGGTGGCACTATGGGTCTCCTTCCTTCTCTTGGTCCTTGGTAGCTCTCAACTCTTCCTCTGCCAGCGAAATGTTGCTTCGTCACACAGCTGGATTTCAGGTGCAGAGATGTTATGAGTGCAACCAAAACAATTTACTCCTGGTACATTTGTAAAAAGAATTGTTACAGTGGTGTCTCGCTAGACAGTTATTTATTTTATTTTATTTAATTTATATCGGATAACACCCTGATCGTCTTCTCAACTCTTCCTCTGCCAGCGAAATGTTGCTTCATCACACAGCTGGATTTCAGGTGCAGAAATGTTATGAGTGCAGCCAAAACAATTTATCCTGGTACATTTGTAAAAAGAATCGTTACAGTGGTACCTCACTAGACACTTACACCGCATGACAGTTTTTTCACTAGACTTTGACTTTTTGCGATCGCTATAGTGATTTGCAAAACAGTGATTCCTATGGGGGAATTTCGCTGGACAATGTTTGGTCCCTGCTTCACAAACCGATTTTTGCTAGACGACGATTTTGACTGCTCCCTCCGCGCTTGCAAAGCAGGTGTTTTTGGGACCTAAGCTTTGCAAGACAGCTATTTAAACAGCTGATTGGTGGTTCGCAAAGCAGCTTTCCTATGGCCAATCTTCGCTAGACAACGACGATTCTTCCCCATTGGAACGCATTAAACAGGTTTCAATGCATTCCAATGGGGAAATGCTTTTCGCTAGACAATGATTTCTCTAAACAGCGATTTCAGTGGAACGGATTATCATCGTCTAGCGAGGCACCACTGTATTGTTATTCCTATGATTACTCTTGTTTCACAGGAATCTTGCCGTACGAGGTGGGAGAAGACCCGATATGGCGCCTGGTACTTGGAGCCCAAGACTTGGAAAAAAATGAAAGCGAACAAACCTTTAGAACACCCTAATTCAAAGGATGAAAGGATCAAGAATTCCAGGGGGCCATTAGGTGGAAAGGTATTGCCTTGTACTTTGGAGGATTTGTTATTCTGATCAAGAGGCTTTGCACTGATAACTGAGCATGCTAGGTTCTAGCAGGTGGACTAACACAAACTGTGCAACTGGAGAGAGACTGGCACTGAGGAGACCTATCTATGTAGACAAGCATGGGCTCATAGGGGTCTGTTCATTTATTCATGTTCTCTCTCTTTCTCTCTCCCTTCCTTCCTTCCTCACACTCAAACACAAGTACACAAATACACACACACACACACATACGGGGAGGGGAGGGCAGAGAGAGAGAGAGAGTGAGAGAGAGAGAGGCAAATAGAGGGAGATAGTGACAAAAGATGATCAGGGCATGCTGGGATAGAGGGAGCGAGAGAAATGACAGGGCAAACGGAAGTAAAATTTTGTGCACTTTTCTGAACTGGTGGCCTTCAGACACATTGGCTTCAAATTTCCATCGGCCATCAGAAATGTTTTCCAACTTGAGGCTGCAGATCTTCTTGGACTCTAACTTCCAGAAGCCCTAGAAGATGGCACAGCCAATGGTTAGAGCCTCTCGTGGTTATAGTCCTAGAACATCTTGAAGGCTCCAGGTCAGGAGCCACGGACCTGGAGTATGCGTGCTGAGGATGGCGGGAGTTGTAGTCAAAAGCATTCTGGACAGCGCCAAGTTAGGGACGGCTGCTTGAGGGTGTTCCTTACTTACTGTGGCCCCGGGGTGGTTTTACAGGATGCTGAGACCATGCAGCTTCATGGGGTTCATGCTTTTAAGGAATTTCTTGGGAAGAAAGGCTACCATATCCCAGAGGTAAGGTTTAAATATATGTTATCTATATATATTTTTTGTACTCATGTTCTTAAATAAGTTTGGGTCCCTAGCTGGTGCATAGAAGCTAGTAGTTATACTGCTCTCCACCCAAAAAGCTTCATATCCGAGCAGTGATTAAAGAAATAAGATAATACGTAACTGCTTTATTCCAGGATGACGTTCACAGTTACTGTGGTTCGATACTACTTTGACTGTCATGGATTTATTTTTGCAAAATCTTTTGATTTGTCCTGCTACTTAGATTTCTTTGCTGTAATTCATGGCAGGGTGGGGGATGTTAGCGCTCCCCAGGACAGAATTCCAAGTGCCTCACCAAACTACAACTTCCAGGATTCCTCGGAATGGAAACATGGTAGATAAAGCGGAACTGAGCTGTTATAACTGAGAATAACAGATACACTTCAGATCAGACTATGACTGAAATCCTGTTGCTTAGTGTAGTAAGGCACATTTAAAGTAACTTGCTAGAGTAGACTGTAACTAAAAAGATGATCAGGGCATGCTGGGATAGAGGGAGCGAGAGAAATGACAGGGAGAAGGGAAGTAAAATTTTGTGCACTTTTCTGAACTGGTGGCCTTCAGATACGTTGGCTTAGTGTAGCGTTGGCTTAGTGTAGTAACTTCCTAGAGTAGACTGTAACTAGAGTTTTAGATTAGACCTCCTTCAGTCTTGAGAGCCTATGGCAACGTGCTCTGTATGGAGGACTTGGAACAGCATCTAGTGTGGCTGAGAAGGCCAATTCAAGAGTGACCATCCCTTCCACATACAATCTGTCCCCTGTCCAGCTCCCTGATCTTGCTGGTTTTGGGACTGCCTGTAACTCAAGTCGGCCTATTTAAATACCCATTGATTCAATGGCCTGCTTTAGGGTAAATTACTGTGCTAAGGAACAGGATTTTAGTATATTTGTCCATCTTCCCCTGAGTGGCAGTAGGTCTCCCAGTAGAGGGAAGGCTTTCTTACCATCCTTTTGACTGGAACCAGTGATGATTCCAGATCTGAAGGAGGGGCAAAGCTATCTTAAGCAGGTCCATCTCCTTTGCTACCATCACCACTCCCTGTGGGTTGCCTTCTGCTCTTCGCTCAATGCATTCCCCTGCCCCCAATGAGAAACCAAAATAAGCAGAGACTGTGGCTCCCAGTTACATTTGGATTAGCAGAAAAGGGAAAGGAACAGGACTATGGGGTTTGAAGAATCAATACCACTGGGCCGGCTACTTCTGTGTGAGTGTGGTGGGTAACTCTATGAGGCCACTAACCTCAAGAGCTGGCTTGGTTGGCAATACAAGAGGTTGGACTTGGGGGTTTCAATGTATGTGGTTTATCTTAGAACTATGCCACTTCTTTGAATGAAGGATCAATTAATTCGAGATTTTTAAGATCAAGTGGAGCATTACAAATGGCAGTTTGTCAGAAGAGGGAATTCCTTAATTGTTGGAAGGTGCTTGATAACTACAACAGGAGCTTTATCATACTTCCCATAGTTTGCAAATTACTTGTTTTCTGATTGGTCCTTGAGAGGTAAATGCGGACTTCATTTACAAGGCAGATTGCTCAGCCCCAAAGCTCTGTCTAAATCACACGTCTGGAACACTAAAATGATTTTAGCTTCTAATGATGTGCCATATGTATCGTCGTTTGAGCCCCAGAATAGCAACCAGAGTTGACTACAGCTGGAGCTGCAATAACCCCAATGTAAAGTTTGTATTCATTAGCAATTGGTTTTTTTGATGCTCCATGCAAAGGCTCCAAATTTGTGAGATATGGGGTGCAGAAATTCGGTCATGATGCTAAGAGATTTTTTCCCCCTTTGGTATTACATTGCTGTGAGTTGTCATGGATTTTAGAGCATGGCTAAGAGCTTACTTTGTAAACAAACGGAAATTTATGTTTGGGTTCAGTTCCTGAATCAGATGCTGGCTGCAGAAGAGCCTCCAGCTAGACCAAAAGCAGGCATTCTTAAGTGTTGCCTGAATGAATTCTGGAGACGTGAAGAGCTGCAAGAAGACAACCCACTAGCAACAGAGAATGAACACTTGAACTCCTCAAGGCTCAAGGGATGAGAGGCTCGCTGTAGCTTAGCCTAATGCCTTATCGGAGAAGGAGCCTTGTGGTGCAATTGGGTCATTTGCATCAGGCTCTTTCGGGCCCATCCGGATATTTCGATTGGGTCAGAACTGGGTCAAGATGTTACACCTCGTGAGCCAGAAGGAACTGCCTCCCCCTTGTTCGAAGAAAAAAAGTCAACCCATGTGACAAAGACAGCAGAAAAGAGGAAGACCAAACAGGAGATAACATAGGTTGACCTGAAGAGGTCTATTCATGACAAGACCTTTTTGAGGTCACTAACACAGAGGGTTGCTGGAACTGTGAAGTGGCTTGGCAGCGTAGAACAGCGAAAATATCAACAAGTAACAAGTAACCTGAAGAGGGGATAGGCCAATGGATGGCCAGGTGGTCTTGGGTACCTCATCCTCTCTTGTCTTTCCTAAAGGGCCATCCTGTGATCTATCAAGGTGTGGTTGCTGTTTTCCTTTCATTAGAAGGAAGCAAACTGGCCAGTGCCTCACGTTGGCGGTCCTCCATTAGGGCTCCTGGCAGACCTTCATGCATGGAAGTCAACTTTAGGGGTTTAATTAACCTTTGGGATTTTATTCCCTCATGATTTCAAAATGGATTTCACACAAAGTAATAAATGTAAGTTTTCTGTTAAAAACAACAAGACAAGTTTATGCTTTTTAACAGCCCTAAGTTGAACACTACTAGCCTGCTGCAGTCTGCTGGTGAAAAAACTAAACATCCTTACAGCCTTCTTCCTTCGCACTGTTAAAATCATGGTCTCACCCTGACAAACCTTACAGGGTTCCTCTAATGATAAAAGTAGAGAGGGGCAGCAAACATGCGCACTGCCTTGAACTCACTGAAGGAACGATGAGACATAAGTACAATTAATCAATATAACAACAAGAATGCATGAATAAATGCATGCGCATACATACTGTGCTGATATTTAATGGATACTTAGGTTTTTGGTTAAAACTTGTATCTATTATATAATACCAGTCAATATTTTCATAATTTTGACGAACTGTTCCTAGTGTTATTATTTGGCCTCAAAATAAGTTGATCCTCCTAGCCATGCAAGCTCTGGAAGGTGTTGGGATATGGCAAAATCTACATTCTAGCCATTATGGGGTTAATGTGTTTGCCTTGACTGACTGACTGACTGACTGACTGACTGACTGACTGACTGACTGACTGACTGACTGACTGACTGACTGACTGATTGATTGATTGATTGATTGATTGATTGATACCTCATCCATCATTCTAGACCAAAGTCTACTCTGGGTGGCTAACAATAATAGATATAATAAAAACATATAATAAAATTAAAAACAGTAGAAATATTGTTCAAGATGGGCAAACTATTCAAGTAATGACGGGGGGGAGCCTGCCTAAAGAGCCAGGTATTAAGTTAAAAATAATAGAAGCAGCAGCTCTGAGCAAAAATCTATTGCTTCCTTTGTCTTTACTTGTATTGCTGTCCACACATACCCATGATTTTCACACCTAGTATCCCAAGTATTTGATTTTTAAAGATCATGTCCCATTGATTTCAGTGACGTTTACTCCCAGGTTCATTGTACTGTGGCAGGTTTAAAATGTGCCCTCGAATGGTTTGGTCCCAATGAAAGAACTGCAGAGATCATGAGAGATATTTTTATTGAAGAAATGCTGTAAATAATGCAGAGAAGAAAGAAAATGAAATTTTTAGAAAGAGAAAGAAATTACAGGGGGGAAGGCATAAGAGAAGATCATTCTGCTGATGCAGATAAAGCACAGTTGGGGGTTTTAACATTTAAAGCCCAGAAGTCAATACATAGGCAGGTCTACCCTGACGGATTAAAATGGCTGATTCATTCACCCAAGATATTTGCACCTCAGTGAAGCAGTAGAGATGGCTCTGGTTTTGCAGAGACAATGGATCTGCTCTGGGTTTTCTTCTGAACTTTACAGGCATTATCCAAAGTGCTGAATCCTATCCGCAAACCGTTGGAGCTGAACTAAGGATTTCAGCACCCCGAATAGCTCCCGTAAAAATCTCGCCATCCCTGGGAAAGTGATGTCTCTGTTCTGGATTTGGAGTTTCTAATGATAAATTCTCAGCACTTCAACCAAACTAAATTTCACAGGATTGTTTAAGGGTTTTTTTGCCAGAACAGGTATAGGAAGCAACATATATTTATGTAGTTTAGATCTGTCCCATAAGACCTTATATTATGACACAGCTCTTGTCTAGTTAGCATAGCAGGAGTCAGGAGTCAAGGCTGTCTCAACAACAGTCTCTGTTTTTGCACCATTGGTGAGCAGGCATGGACTTGTGTAGCACTTGTTCCGGTCGTAGGTGTAACAGGGTTGCTCCGGGTCATTGCATAGATTGCTCTGCCCAACAGTAACTCCCAGATGATCCTCCAGGTTGGCATCTGAACTGCATTTGTCACAGCTGGAAAACAGAAGGAAAGCATTAGCCAAAGTGGCTTCTTAACATTAGAGAATGTTGCACCCTGAAAATCCATCCATCCATCCATCCATCCATCCATCCATCCATCCATCCATCCTTCCTTCCTTCCTTCCTTCCTTCCGGGTTTTCATCCAGACTTTGAATAAGGTCTCCCAAAGGGTTGTCATTTCAGGATTTGGGTTCAGTACCTAGCAGTTCCTGTAAAGTTCAGACTAAAATCCAGAGCGGATCCACTGTCCCCGTGAAGGTGAAGTGATCTGTCCCCATTGTTATGATGGAGATGCAATCTTCATCAGAAAAGTGCGGGAAGCAGGAAAACTAGGTTTAAACACCCCTCTCTCTCCCTCTCCTCAAATGCCTCTTTTCTCCACATTGATCCCACTCTGAATTCTTGAAGCACTAAGAGAAATAACTATCAGAGTCTGGTTTGCACTTAACATTCCATCCTATCCTGATTTTTCTTCTTTGCTGGGGTTTTATTTGTGTTTGCCATCGTCTGTGCTTGTCACCTGACATTCTCAATGGATTGTGATGTTTTATATACTAACTGCACACAACAACTGCTGTGTAGGTGTTTTGGGGCACATGGAGAACTTATGCATAGCACTTGATAGGAGGCTGCCTCTACGATGATGTGCAAACAATGTGACTGTAGCTGAAAGGTCACTGGATGTTAAACTCTCCTAAATGGTTTTGAAAACAGTGCTAGGGTTACCTGATAACTGGACATATTTCTGACGGTCATGAATGTGGATAGTTATTTGCTTGCAACCCTTTCGGTTCTGTTTAGACTTACAGGTGGAAGTATAATCAAGTAAAGGACTTACAGCTTTGAGAGTCTGTAGACAAACTTGGTTCTCACGGGTGAAGTGGGGTCAGAAATGTTCTCCCTGGCTGTGAGAGGAACTCTGAAGAAGACGAAGAAGAAGAAGAAAAGGGGGAGAGGAAATTTGTTTATATCTTTATTGACAGAAATGCAATAGAAACACAACTATTATTGCTTTGCAACAGAGGCCCATAGATTTGTGTTTCGGACTACAACTCCCATAATTCCCTGGCAGCCTAGAAAAGATAAGCATGCTGGAAAAGCTGAAAGTGGTAGAGAAAGAGGAAGTCTTAAAATGAGGTGGATTGACTCAATAAAAGGGGTTGCAACCTTTGGTTTGTATGACAGGAGCATGAACTTTTGGAGGGCATACATTCAAGTCAGTATATGTTGGAAATGACTTGACAGCACATAATAAGAACAACTACAAGTGGTGCCTCGCATAACGAGCGCCCCGTTTAACAGAGGTTGCAACCTTTGGTTTGTATGACAGGAGCATGACCTTTTTGGAGGGCATTAATTCAAGTCAGTATATGTTGGAAATGACTGGACAGCACATAATAAGAACAACTATATCAACAGAGGTGGATTTCCCTGCCTCTTTGGCAGTGCCTCTACCTGGTTAAAACAATGTGGTCATGACCCACAGGGTTTCTATAGTCTAGGGCAGAGTGGTTTCCATGGGCCCAAACACAACCCCACAGGACAACTCGCTCTCTGTGGTATTTAGTAAGTATTTATTTCATTATTACCACTTATATCCCACGTAGTAGAGACACTACTCTGGGCGGTCATGACAATATAATATAAACCCTAACCCGGAGCCATAAACCAAAGACAAACCAAATAAACGCAATGTTTAAATAGGGAAAACATTGCATTGCGATGATCGGTAAGCATTTCGCTTACCGATCTTCGCATTGCGATGTTGTAAAACAGCTGATTGGCGGTTCCAAAATGGCCACCAGGTCAACAAAATGGCCGCACGCAGCATTTTCGCACTGATTCCTCACTTACCGAGGCGGCGAAAATGGTGGCCAGATGGAGGATTTCCACATAGTGGCGAGTTTTTGCCCCATAGGAACGCATTAAACAAGGCTTAATGCGTTCCTATGGGGTTTTTCGTTCCGTATAGCGACGTTTCTAGATAGCGACGATTTATCCGGAACGGATTATCATCGCTATGCGGGGCACCACTGTATATCGATAGAGGTGGATTTCGCTGCCTCTTTGGCAGAGCCTCTACCTGGTTAAAACGATGTGGTCATGACCCACAGGGTTTCTATAATCAAGGGCAGAGTGGTTTCCATGGGCCCAAACACAACCCCACAGGACAACTCGCTCTCTGTGGTATTTAGTAAGTATTTATTTCATTATTACCACTTATATCCCACGTAGTAGAGACACTACTCTGGGCGGTCATGACAATATAATATAAACCCTAACCCGGAGCCATAAACCAAAGACAAACCAAATAAACTCAAGTGGGAAAACCCCCAATGATGGCAACCGCCTTGGGGGGGACATTGGATGAAAGGGTCCAATCCGTGAGGGGGGAGAATATCCTTAAAGGTTTCCCTAAATAGTTTTTTAAAACTCTGGAGGGAAGAGGCCTGCCAGATCTCCAATGGAAAGCAATTCCAAAGTGTGGGGGCCACTACTGAAAAGGCCTGTGATCTACTTGAGGTCTTCCTTTCTTCCCTTGGTGTGGCCACCTGCAGCATCGAAGGCCAAGGGAGGTTGAGGGGAACAGGCACCCTTTCTGTAAGAGAGATGCTATGCAGTGTTTATGCCTATGCTTGCTGAATGGGGAAGGGAAAATGTGAGGGTACCACTTACAGAATGCGAATGTTTCTCTCCAAGACTTCCTCTTGAGGATTGTCTTTAGACGGTACAAATTTTGAGGTCACTTTTACGCACTGACACTTGTTGTCAACCAGAACATCAGTGCTGTTATGTAACAGATGCTATGCAGTGTTTATGCCTATGCTTGCTGAATGGGGAAGGGAAAATGTGAGGGTACCACTTACAGAATGCGAATGTTTCTCTCCAAGACTTCCTCTTGAGGATTGTCTTTAGACGGTACAAATTTTGAGGTCACTTTTACGCACTGACACTTGTTGTCAACCAGAACCGTCTCTTCATCTTGGTCCAGTCCGTAAAAGGCTTAAAACGAACCAACAAACAAAATCAACACACAAAAGGAAGAAAATTCTTCAAAGCCGTTTTGCTATTTCTTTGAGATATATTCATTTATTGCCTACCTCTTCAGTTCATTTTGCCAGAGTAGGTGTGCCTATCAGAGACTGAGATTTGAAACTGAAAAATACTGGAAGCTAAATTTAGTTTGCTGAGAAGGACATTGAAACCCTAAGGTCTTCAAGGTGGCGTTTTCAGGTTTAGATGATTACACCAAAGGCTGATTTTGGGGTTATATTAATATAGGTGAACGTGAATAGCTGACATGCCGAATTAGAATAAAGATTGGGTAAGTTACTTCTTTGGACTGTAGTTCCATGAACCAGCACAAGCCCACTGTATGCATGATTATGTATTCGGATTACATCACCAAATAGAATAGCTATTTCGTACCAGTGAAAATGCTCAAAAACACATGATAAATAAGAATCACATTGAGGAGAAATGGTGTGAATCCTGTTGGTCATGCTGATAAACTCTGAGGTATCTTAAAACAGAAATTATAAGAAGGAATTCATTTTACAAGCTTAGCTGCTTGGTATGGAATATTGCATTACAACTCACATCATCCCTGGAGATGATGGGTGATACAGTTCAATACATTTGAGCAGTGACGTTTGAGCAAAGCCAGTGTAAACTATCCCCATAAATAACAAATCAGGTACTTGAACCTTAGCATGCGCCTTGCGACAAACAAAGTTGAGCTACTTTACAAAATTCGTATGTGTACACACACACAGAGAGAAATATACACACAATGAAGCTACTAATTGCAAAGCAGCTGAGCAAGAACAGAACACATTCTCCTTCTGGCATTCCTTATTTTTCAAACGTAGAATCTGACTGTCCTACGTAAACATGTATGTCCCAGTTTTAAAAATAGCAGTTGCATTTCTAGCAAAAAAGCACCTTCCCAGCGTGATATTTCCTTGGAGTTCCCTGACCTCTTGTCACATACCTGCTGTAAGGGCAGCTCCCCAAAAGATTGTCAAGGTGCCACAGAAGATCCACGAGGTCTTCATCCTGAAAATGTAGCCTTCTGCCAAGTACTGGTGCTTCACGATGCAGCACGCCCGTTTTCCTAAATCGCCAATGTAGATTTCAAGTAGCTGAGGCAGATGGTGGTTAATGTGGGGCTGGCCGGATGTAATGAAACCACAAGGTAATGCTGGCTTACTAATCAGGGTGGAAAACCCCTTTCTTCGAAAACTGTGCTCGTGGTTAGGATTACAGCATTTCTCTCTGCTATCTAAACTTCAGATTTTTTAAATATTATTAGTATTTTACAAATTGCAATTACTCATACACACGAAATTACTAGACAACATGTGTACAGAACATGTGGAAAGGAATAGAATAAAGCTGATTCGCTTGAATATATATCAATAACTAACAATAATGCTTAACTCTTTTATCCATGCATTAGCAAATTCATATTTGGTATTGATCTGGTATAACTAAAGTCCTGGAGAGGTCATCCATACTTGTCACAAGCAATATGAAATGGTGTAGAATAAATATGGACAACTCAGTGATTTACGCATCTGGGCTGTAGAGCCAGAAGTTGTGAGTTCGATTCCCCCAATGTGCTTCCCTCACAGGGGTTGGACTTAATAATCCACAGGGTCCCTTCCAGTTCTGCAGTTCTAAGATTATTATTGTTATAAATCTCTTTTTGCATGGTCCCCGGTTAACTCGTGATACTGTATGAGCCACTCCTTTATTATATGTGGCTCTTATTGTTTCTTATACTAGAATAGCAAGTAGGATTATTTAGACAGTTTTCAGTCCATTCCAATATCCACAGTCGTATAGTACCTTTATGAGGTTGGCTCACTGTTCACAAAAATGTGCAAGCTTTGAAGGTCCACAGAACCTTGCATCAGAATCGTTGCTGCTGATAAAGAAGAGGGAAGAGTCTGTATACCAGGGAGAACCCTGGAAACATACAGAAGGATAGACCTCCTTGTGGCGCTGGGGGAAGACAAGCCAGCAACACCCACACCTTGAATCCGTGCATACCCATGGAAACCCACTGTGGGGATGTAAATGGTAAATAAATAGTTTGAACATGTCAGATGCCTGGAAAACCCTGTTAGGGTGAGCAGAAGTACCACTTGATGACACCTAACATCAGTTTTGTATCTCTGTTCCACTCTGATTCTGTGTATACTTGGACTACACACAGTTGAAGAAGCAGATTATAACCCAAGAAACCTGTGCTAAAATAGACCTCTTATGCTTAAAAGTGCCACAGCAGTCTTCTCCCCTTTTCTATTGCCTTCTTTCATTAATTTTTCCTTCCTTGTCTCCATCTTGGCTCAAAGGAAAGTCTCTTTGGAACGAACGATACTAACCATGGGTACCTCAACAGGGATAGAGTGGAACTGGTTTTTCTTGAAAAATGGCTCCACCACATGGGTGGGCAGGCTTCTTGCTGGGTCTTTTCAGGGCATTGATCTCCAGCACGTATGGTACCCATATGGCCTCTTCCTTTCCCTATTCAGAAAGAGACATTTCAGACTTCCAGACTGACACTCTAATTGAGGGGAGCCCTTTGTCACTTCTGCTCTTGAGGTCCCGGGGATGAGGAGAGAAAGAGAGTGGAAAATTGGAGGATGGGACCTAAGGGAGTATTGAAACCAGAGCTTAGAGGGTTGAATCACTGGGGTTTTTCAATTAGCTGGGATGACAATGAAGCCATCTGTCTTGCCACACCAGTTGCCATGCTAATTCTGAGCTTAACTGCACATATTATTTCCCAGCAAGAATAGATACAGTGCTACAAAGTATCACAGTTTTACTGTGAAATGTTTTTGAGTGGCTTCATATTAGGGGGGGAATTTACAAATGATCCTTAATGAATTATAGCATCTGCATGTCACAACAGAAACCTCTCTTTGGTCAAAATTCTTCAGACTTACACATGGAATTTACTTTAAGTCTTAATTCACAAATTCAAAACTGCCTTAATCACCTCTCTCCAGCATTGATGGGCCTTCAGCTCTTATTATGGTTGATACACAACAGCCTGTTTCTTCCTTTAAAGGAACTATTAAGACGTCTGAGTTTTCCAAATACCCACTTGCTGGTCAAGATGGAAACTGCTAGAACTGGCTTCTTAAAGTGGATCAACACAGATATGGCTCTGGGGATTGGAGAGACAAGTGTCTGCACTCAAAAATATATCTAATTCATTCAACTTTTCCAGCCTGTGTGATTTTGGAAACGTATCCTGGATACTCCTAAGAGGGCACCGACTTTCTAGAGTCCTTGCCGAGATCATCCAGATGACAGTATTGCTGATTAATATTGATGGATGTAAAAACTGGATGGTGAAGAGAGCTGACAGAAAAAGAAATATATATTATATATATTTATTTTGTGTGTGTACACACACACACACACACACACACACACACACACACAAAAACGCACGTGA